CCAATAACGCTCTTCAAAAACTCTAGGCAATCTCTTCTATAGCTTAACCACTCTCTGGGTACATCTTAAGAGAGTCTAAAGCAGAAAAGTGCACATAAGGTAACCAACTCCCTCTTCTCCACAAATTCAGCTCTGATGCTTTCTGTGAAAATACATAGAAGTGTCAGAGCTGTGAGCTACATACGTTAAGCTATTGTCATTCATACAAACAACAACAAGATGAAGTTAGAGAAAATTAATTACATTATAGAATAGTGAAATTATTGCCACAGATGAGTAGGCAGTATGTTTACATAACAGAGACTTTGAAAGACAGAAGACGAAAGGAAGCAAAATCTATGATAGAAACCAAAATGGATCATTTTTCCTCTGTTTTGCTATTGGCTAGTCTCCAAAATGTTTACACGCAGCCAGAAAGTTGCAAATGTGTGAACAGCCCTGAAAAGATAGTATTTCCACATCTGGGAACAACGGTAGTTTTACAACAATTCAAGACAGTCCCAGATTACCCTACAAAGGATGCACTTTTCAAGAACACAGAGAGGATCAGCACTGATCACCTTCGCATATTAAAAGGTATAGAAAACCCAGGTCATTCAAGAATCTCTGATTTTTCTCTCTCTTTCTAAAATATTTAGTTGCTATTCGACATGTCAGTTTGAAACTGATAGTTTTCTCATATTCTAGATTTCAAAGTACTGGTGGTGATGTTGTGGTAAACAACCCTGTCTAAAGAAATCAATTTCTAAATGAAAAAAAAAAAATATATATATATATTAAACCACCATGTGAACTTATAAAAACTATTACAACCAAGCACCCTGACAAGAATATCATGGACGTAATAAAAACCTGAATGGGCTATGTTAGAAGTAACTGTTCTCTAAAGCACAATCAAGTTCTGTCTACTTTCTCATGTCTGGAGCGACTGCCAACATTGCAAAATCCTTCTATAATGTGTTTTTAAGGTGACCGCTTAAGTATACTATTGGTATTTTGATAGAAAGCAATTGTCTTTGTAGCAACTGATAAGATTAATATTTTGAGCTGAGCCAGGAGAAGTAAGAGGAAAGAGGCACTAATGAACCCAATAAAGAGGTTCAGTCTAGAATGGTTGTTAATCTATATAACTAACTTCAGGGGGAAAAAAGGTTTGGTGTCAATAAAGCATTTCCTTAGTAAATTACTACTGGCTCCAGTGCAAGACATTTACAGTAAACACCAAAAGTCTGCAAGGCATCTGTTCTATTCACAGTGGAAGAAGGAACTTTGCTCCATTAATAACTTTAAAAACATGCAATAACTAATTCATGATGGCAGTTCAAATCCTATCTGCAGCCTTCATTATTTGACCAAGCTGAGTTCAAAGATAAAGCAAGTTTTTAAAAACCCTTGAAAGTTTAGAAGTACACTTTAAATTATAATAAAGAAGCTGTGTTCTTTCTACTAAATATAAAAAAGCTGTAGCTTTAAACCATGTGCCACAGCATTATTTTAAGAATACATGCAAGATAAGAGTTAAAATGTATATATAAAATCCTATAAGAGCTCAGGTTCTGTTTTAGTGAAAATCTGTGTTATATAGCAAGGGCATGTGTAATATACATGTATGTATACATAAAAATACTTGCTGGAATTTTAACATTTGACTTTACTAGAGATTTAGTGGGACTTTGCCTAAGGCAAGTTTTTAATAGCAATAATAAAAAAATACTTAATGGTACTTAGGGTAAATAATGTGTGGTCACTATGTTTAAAAAAAAGTAATACCAAACATCTGTGCTAGATTTCCACATGATAAAAATCACCATATTACCTACAGTTCTACCAAAGTTACAGAGAAACAAATTTTATTTAAAATTCTGGAAGAGACATGTGATAACCAATTTAAGAACTATAAGGTAGGCATCTTGCGTTTTCTGACAGGAATATATCTTTAGCGATCATCATGATATTTAATTCTGAATATCAATAATGCCATGGTATGACATTATGGCTTCAAGACAGATTTTCAACAACTAACATACTTACAGGGAGACTTTTCAGCCCAAGAATGTCCTTTCTTATCTGTGTGCATTTGCAAAGTCTGCTTTGTTCATACAGGATACATCATTTCCTTACCAAAGCAAATGCCATATTATTTTGTTTCAGGAAATGCAAATAAAATTACCTTTGAAACACATTAACAAAAATATTTTAGTTACAGACACAGGATTCAATCTAACTCGGTGATAGCAAACCTTTTGCAAACTGGGCAGAGGTTCTCCAGAACCATGGAAAAGAGCTCAACATCCTCTCCTCAGCATTCCTTCTGCTGGAGACTACAACAGAATCTATCACTGCTGTTGAATAACTTAACTGCTGCTATAAATAAGTTTATCTTCTGTAACTTGTTTCAACTGCAGTAGCAGAAACTCAAAGGGCAAGAATCACTAAAAAACCAGAAACTGTTCAGGTTTTGACCAAACTGCATTACACACAACAGCATACTCTCAGACAATATACTCAACACGAACTCTACACTCCAACCTGTAGAAACACAAGAAAGCAGAATATTTTAGATGAAGTTCTAACAGGACAGATTTTTTTTAAGATATAGAAAGCTCAACACAATTTAAGTGAATGCTACACAATTCATGAATGGAATTAAATAAAAATGTCTCCAAGTTACAGCTTACTTTTAAGGTATTCTCAAGGGAAAAAAAAACCACCAAACTCCTGCAAGGTCATTTACACAGTTAGGATGACAACTTACAAACACCACTTAAATAAAAATATCCACCAAGGAGACAACTGCAGAAAATTCAACACAACAATTCCTGTTTTGTCATGCTGGAAACCTGTATTGTGCAGAAGGAAGACTGCACACAGCCTGCGGCAATTCAAACAAGCACTGCAGAGTAATAAGGACTTACCAAGCTACACATGAATATCAAAAGTTGATCTGTTTGAGACAGCAAAAGACTGTGCAACAGGAAGAGAGCTGGAGAAATACTTCACCCAAAGCCTTGATATATATAATATCAAGGAAATTGTTAGTCAAAATCTCCAACCTACCTGGTTCCTGCCAATCTGACAAGGACACATTCCAGACAGCAAAGCTTGTAAATTTTTAAGCCTTGATCAGTTACCAAGGCATATTAGCATGTCATAAACACAAATTCCAGTAAACCCCATCCTATACTTGCAGCACTCCAGAGGAAAGACAACCTCTATATCCTCATATAAACTGAGGGAGAAACAATCTCTTTTTTGCTGGCCCTTGAAGGTAACCTATGGGGAATTCTGAAACGTAAAACTGATTCAGTACAAATACAGGAGAAACATGTACAGTCCATAAGTAGCAATATGATCTCCTTTCAGCATTTCCTGGACCACTCAATAAACTGGATGCCCAAGGACTTTGCATTTTAACTATCTTTCAAGCTCCTTTTAGTTCTATTTCTCTCACTACTCTTGACCATTGTATTAATTAGAAACCATCTTCAAATTTCTGCTGTAAATTTATTCATGTCCAATACATGCCCAAATTAGGATTCATAAACTTAAGTGATACTGGTACAACAGGTTAAATATAATCACATAAACCAAATAATCAATAGCAAATCATCCATCCTTGAAACAGACTCAATGTACTGTTCTGAGAATAGCAGATCTAAATCCAGAAACTTGTCTGCTAGTCTGCAGAAATTCTCCCTCAATCCTCCCTCATTAGAAACTCCCTATGCAACTTCTTTAAAATTCCACTGACCTTTAGACAGGTGGCATAATTTCTTATTTAAAATTCTGGCTGTGAAAAGATTCAGGATCCACACCTTTCTGAGCTTCAGATGGACCCCAGATACCACTAAGCCCTCAATACATATTCTAGGTTAGAGAAGGGAGGAAAAAAAAAAAGAAAATCCTAGAGTAACTATAAGCTAAAAAAAAATATTGTCTATAGCAAACAAAAAGAAAATATTTTGACAACATTTTATAGATGCAAATTGCTGTCCTTAATCTCTAGCACTGATATCTTTGGTGATATACAAGAGTCTATAATAGTTTTCTCTGGTCTTGTACTAATTTTCTTCATGCTTTGGTCTGTCAGACAAATTGGTGTTTTTACTAGACTGGAAGTTCCATCAGGCTACACTGCTGCCAAATTCCAAAGTAAACAGACCTATTCATTCTGTTTTCCCTCTACCCAAGCTGTGGGTAGCTTGAACACCATCTCCCTGCAATTTTCACCCTTCT